AAAAAAAAAAAAAAAAAAAAAAAAAAAAAAAAAAAAAAAAAAAAAAAGCGGATAAAGCAGATTCTAAGAGAAGAAAAACAATTTGGAAATTGTCTAAAGTAAAATGGTAAGTGAATAGATTCAATAAGAACAGGCTTTAGGTCTAGAAAGTTAAAAGCAATTAAGTCAGAATTAAGAGGAGCAGAGGAAGGGTTACATGGTGGAACAATTTTTTTGTTATGTAAAAGAAAGCATCTGTATCCCAGGCACAGTACACAAGCTGCTTTCTGATCATTTCCATGGAAAAGCTTGGGGCTGTGTGAAGACGAGAAAATTCTCCATTAAGTTTGTTTGCATCTACAAAGAGACATGGATAACTCAAGTGTTACGCCATCACAAAGCTACATAAGGTTATGTCAGCCAGAAGAAATGCTTCTAAAATGTTAAACAAGTAAACAAATCAGGACAAGTAAAAAACACAAGTATACATGACTTACCTGTTCTACTCTCAACATATCTATGATCTGATCAAACAACGGGGTTCTCAGCAAGTCCCGATGAATTAAGAGTGTTTCCAGAGCATTACAGGCAGCAGGATATTCACACTTTGAGTCTCTGACTGAGGTTTAAGAGTAGAGAATTTATTATGTAACATTTATGTCAAAAATTCTGAACAGTACATGAATCAGCAATTATCAAAATCTTATTACATATTCCAAATATGAAGCTCAGTTACACCCATGATTCAAGTCACCCTCAGACTGCTTACTTATTCGCGTGACCTTTTCAACACTGGCATCCACATCCACATACACATGACAGATTCCTTCGCTGTGTCCCATCACAGGTATTCCCTTTGCTGCTTTCTGTATATTCCTGACTAGCTGGGATGAACCACGTGGAATGATAAGATCTATCAGCTTATCCAGACGGCAGAGATCTTCTACTTCCTCTCTTGTATTCACCTGTGGAAGTTGTGATACAAGTAGTCCATAGTCTGAAGTTCTACCTGTTCTCCTTATACATAGCAAAACATTGTTAATTTAGTTCTAGATACTTACCAGTTGCACTGCGTCTTTGACTCCGTGAATTGAAAGTGCTTCTTGTGTCAGATGATGAAGGATTTGATTGCTATAAGCTGCCTCTTTTCCTCCTTTAAGTAGCAAACCATTTCCACTAGCAATGGCCAAAGCAGACACCTGTCAGAAAGGAACATGAAGACAGACAAACAGGAAAATAAGGAAAAGACAAAGTGATCTGCCTCTTCTAAGAATAACATCCACAGAGCTGGAACAGAATTCTGAATTCTGTTCTTACTCGGTATCAATCTCGTGCACAACAAACAGAACATATAACTCCAGAAATTAAGTATCTTAACATTCCAGGCACAAACTTGAGTTTTCAGAGTACTACTGGCAGAGGGACTGCAGCGAGTGAAAAAAACCCCGGACAGAGGCTCTGGCATGAATTGAATAGCTGTATAAAATAATTTGAGATGCAAGAATTCTTGCTTCTAGTCATTCTGACTGGAAATAGCTAATAAGCTCTTCCTATCGCAAAGATTTTCCATTGTGCTGTCTAAAACACAAATATAGATAACACTTGAGATAAGTGAAGAGGGAAGAAAAACTCGGGACAGTAGGCACAGCATGAACTTTATCACATTGCTTTCACATTTATAATCAGAAGGAACTTATTGACCTTGTCATCTGCCTGTTTATAGCACTAAATTTCACATATTTTGAGTCCAACACCACAACAGGACAACTGAATGTTTGAATTCAACAATACAACTGGACCTGGACAGACTGGTGAGCTGGGCAGAGAAGAACTCGATGAACTTCAACAACATCAGTAGTCAGAGATTAGAAAATAAGATCAAGGTTGCCTATGCAACTTTAGTTCAGATCCCATATTTTTATGTATTATATTAGCATTTAATCACAGCAATATTTCTGCTACACAGCTCTGCAGATGAAGGTACTTACCTGTAACATACCTGCCTTACTCTGGACACACGAATGACATTCACTTACAGTACACCATTCAAGATTTTCACTGTTTTTTTCTCACAACTTCAGTACAGAACTTAAATCACCACATTAAACCACTGCTTTTCCTCACACCCATCTCTCAAGAAATAAGTAAAAGCTCTAATTTTACCTCACTGCAGGTATGCAGTATTAGCAAAGGACAGACTACTCAAAGCCTAGAACTTATGAGCTACATTTTTTAACACATATTCCTAACAGTTACAATTTGTTATTAACAATTTTCATTAAACAATTGATGTTTAAGCTTATCTTGCAATTCAGCTGCATTCAGCATGGACAGACAAGCATTCATTGGTAAGAACCTTCTAAGTTGCAAGTTAAGCAAGGAACTTATGTTTGTGAGATACATGCAGGAACTGCACCACCTGAATGCAAGCTAACTCCTTCTATGCACTGGGTTATTGAAAAACAACTCTAAAAAACTCTCTACACCGCAGAAACAAGTCCTGAGAACTTATCTGCAGAAAAAATAAGGATGTTAACAAAATTCATTTTAGAATAATCCAAAAGTCTCCTGAGGCAAGCCTTCCTGCAGCCTCCCAGTAACTCATCAGCAGAAACATGCTTTCTTTTGTTAATGAAGAACTCCTAGCAGAGTCTGCCCTCTGTACATACCTGTGGGAGACAGTCAGGGCGGGACTCAAAAATCACGAGAAGAACCCCAATAGGCACTGTCACCTGCTCCAATTCCAGGTCTTTTGCTATTCTTGTTCTCCGAATTACGCGGCCAACGCTGTCCTGCGAGGACGCTGCAATCTGACGTAGTCCAATAGCCAAGCTGTTCAGCTTTGATGTAGAGAGACTTAGACGTTTCAACAAAGGAAGTGCCAGTCTCCCTAGAGGAAAGAAAAAAATATGCTTGAGATAGATTTGTCTGCCTAGACTCAAGCAGAAGTGACCTGGAGGGTGAACATATGGAAAACTCAGATATTTCCCACTCCCAAGCAATAAACCTACCTAAGCTTAATGCAATACACTAAGTCTCATAGTCATTACAAAATCACTACAGTGTGAGAATGTTTTCCCAACCACCATAATTAAATCTAACATAGTGCAACTAATATGCATATGAAGCAACATCCACATCCACAAAGACAAGGTTTTTCCAATTTCAAATACCATTAAATAATGCTGTAGTTAAATTTCTTACCATTTTATACCCTTGCAGTAGTTCTGGAAAGCCTGGGCAATAATTTCATCCTTCTATTGTAGAGACAGACAAGTGCACATTTCAGGCTGGGCAAGAACCACATAAGCTTTCTAGTCTGAATACATTCAGACAGTAAGTTTACCCAGAAATGTCCCTCAATGTAATTTGGGCAGTAATACAATTGTTGCCATGTATTTTTTACTGAGTAGTACAATTTGTGATGTATTAATTTCATACATTTCTAGAATATGGTTGTTACAACCAGAAAGGTCAACACAGCGGAAGGGAGATACAGGTTGTAGTAGCAAAGGGACTAAACTGAATGAACAAGTGTCACAAAGGAGAAGGAAAAGTACTCATCTGTCTCTGAATATCTAGGCTCACAGGGAAAACTCCACAAGAGAGGAATCTCTAACCAGAGCTCCTTCCCAGTGGCAGTCAGCCCTCAACTGAAGTGTAAGAGAGGTACAGCCAGGATTCACCCCTTCCGGTCACACAGCTGAACTGCCTTCAGCTGTGCTCCCAGGGCTGACAAGTCCTCTCCACAAGTGCTCAATCAGTGCTTCAGGCCGTGACTCAACAGTTACCATACAATGGTTGTTCTTGGAGAGTATCAATTTAAGTACACGGATGGCAACAATCCCCATAGGAGCCAAACATTATGATAACCAGCCCAGCAAATAGACACTTTTTGCACTACAGTAACAGGAAAGATATTTGCTATATTTCACTTCTGAAGTGAGCCTGCTTTGGCAGAAGAGAGCACTATCATTTATTTTATTACAGAGCTCTTCCTGGTGCTTTGCAAAGTCTCACCAACTTCTCTGATGAATACATCTGTTTTACGTAATTGTGGAAGCTGCTGCTGTTTACACTGACAAACTCTCCAAGTCCTGGTTTCACTAATCTGTGATAGCAATAATTCCCAATCTCAGGTGACAAATATCTCTAGTTCTGCCCATTTCCTTTGAGACTCAGTTTCATGACAACAGGAATGATGGAACAAATTGTAGTATTACCTTTATTTTCTGCTTCTTCTAAGTCCTTCTTGTTTGCCAAGAGAATTTCTTCTCTTTGATCGGTTAGTAAATCAGCAAGACGATAAATAATCTCTGCTCTCTGAAAGACAAATGTTTCTGAACTGCATTCTTATACGAAATCCATTCTATTTGATACCTAGCCCACCATTTCCTTTCTACTGACCGTACCTTTTCACTGTCTTAACTCCCTGAATACTTGAGGCCAGCTGATTTTTCCAGATTGCATTACATTGAAAAATAAGGCTGAAGAGACCTTTACTTTGGTTTTTTTCTTTGTTTGTTTGTTGTTTTTTGGGCTTGTTTTTTTTTTTGTTGTTGTTCTGGCGCAATCATCTTACTAAACCCACAAAGTTTTCAGACCACTTTTGTGGTCTTTGCAACAGATGACATTTTACCCAGTCAGTTGTAAAGCAGTAATTGGCAGTAACTGATTGTTTCAAACTTCTCATTTGCATGCGCTACACACACAGGAGTGAATAGGCCAAATTATTCCTGTTAACTCTTCAGAAGCTCTGAAAAATCAATTTTTACATAGTATATGTTATGGCAACGTTTATGAACCCTACATGCAAACACTTACTACATCATAATTCTCAGGTATACTATCCATGGGCTCTCTGCATCTATTTAAACATCCAAATGACGGATCTAGCACACAAATAACAGGTTCTTGTCCCAGGAAGCCTGTTCGTGTTAAAAATCTGTTTTTTAAACTTGCCACACATTCTCAAGCTTAGCAAGTGAAGCCATATTCTCTCACCTGCTCAGGCTGCAGTGCTGCCAGGGTCCTGCCACCAGCTCGAGACATTTCACCTTGCTGCTCTACTGTAGGGCCTGTGTCACGGTAACAAAACAAAAAAGCAACAATAAAAGCCCATATCACACATGGACAAAGTTACAGATGTGTGGAAATGAACACCAGCCCTTATATCTTTCATCTCTTTACTCAAAGCAGGAAAACAAGTACTTTTGTAACAGACATATCAAAGACATTTACTGCATGTCAAAACAGGATATATCCATTTTGTACCTATCAGATGAAAAACACTGCCACAATTCCAAGCATATTCCCTTTAAGGGCATCACAGAGACTCAGTAAGACAATTCGTGCCAGAGTGGAAAAGCTTTTATCAAAAAGACATAAAAATCACAGAATCACAGAATCGTAGGGGTTGGAAGGGACCTCCAGAGCTCATCGAGTCCAACCCCCTGCCAAAGCAGGTTCCCTACACCAGGTCGCACAGGTCAGCATCCAGGCAGGTCTTGGACATCTCCAGAGAAGGAGACTCCAAACCTCCCTGGGCAGCCTGTTCAGTGCTCCATCACCTCACTGTACAGAAGTTCCTTCGCACACTGGTGCAGAACTTCCTATGCTGCAGTTTCCAGCCGTTTCCCCTTGTCCTGTCTCCACTCACCACTGAAAAGAGTCCGGCCTCGCCATTCTGACCCCCACACCTCAGATATTTATAGACCTGGATCAGGTCCCCTCTCAGCTTTCTTTTCTCAAGGCTGAACAGACCCAGTTCACTCAGCCTTTCCTCATAGCAGAGATGCTCCAGGCCCTTCACCATCTTCGTGGCCCTCCGCTGGACTTTTTCCAAGAGATCCCTGTCTTTTTTGTACTGGGGAGCCCAGAACTGGACGCAGTGCTCCAGATGAGGCCTTACCAGGGCAGAGTAGAGGGGGAAGATCACCTCCCTTGACCTGCTGGACACGCTCTTTTTAATGCACCCCAGTATGCCATTGGCCCTCTTGGCCAATGAGAGCTCCTGAACAGCTCTCCTATCCACAGACATACACAAAATAAAGGAGGCAGTTCTTCATATACTACTAGCTCTAGAGTTTACAGAGTATTTAGTTAACGCTCTTGCTTGCTGTGACTCAGTCTCATGAATACTAAGCATTTACATAGGTTCTAAAGGTGATTTGACAAATTTATACAAGAAATCCATCGAGCATTATTGTACACACTTGTCTTACAGCGCAAGTCACAAGTACCACTCCATACTTGTTCTACTCTGCTAAGATCATGGATGTTTGCTCTTTCTACAGCCACTGTTACAATGCCAGAGCAACAGAGAGGCTATAAAACATTCCCAACCTATAATACCAGAAAGTAGAAAGCAGTAAAATGAATTTGTGATAAAAAGTATAACTAGACATTATTTTAGTTCAGCAGCACATTTTATAGTATGCTTTCTTTCACACCAAAATATTCAACCACAGAGGATAACCTCTACAACGTAAAAAGACAATTCCACTCAGTTCTTTAAACACACGTCTGATGCATCAAGTTAGCAGCTGGAGGGAATCTTAGCAAAGGATTTTCTATTCCAACCTCAGAAAATATCTTTCAACAACCATTTGTCAAGCAGAACATGCTTCCCTATTTGTTGTACAGACCTAGCTAAATTTTAACTCTAAGCTTTCAGGAAATCTCTTTAATTCTATACTCACCTGCAGGCTTTACCTCTGAAAAAAAAGTTCCAACTTTTTTCCCGTCCACAATATCTGTGATGACGTGACCAGAGATCTTTGGGTGAGTTCCATTTGCAATCACTACAGATGTGCCTCCTTGGAGGGCCCACAGAGCTGCTTTCACCTACAGGATAGAGCCAGTTCCAGAAAATTCACTTATTATTTGAATCCCCATTCTCAACAAGAATTCTTACAGAATCACAGAATTGCTCAGGTTGGAAAAGACCTTAAAGATCATCAAGTCCAATCACAACCTAACCATCCTACCCTAACTCTAACAACCCTCTGCTAAATCATATCCCTGAGCACCACATCCAAATAGTTTTTAAACATATGCAGGGGTGGTGACCCACTGAAGATCCTATTCCAGTGAGTCACCACCCCTACTTAACAACCCTTTCTGTAGTTTTTCCTGATATCCAACCTAAACTTACCCTGGTGCAACTTGAGGCCATTCCCCCTCATCCTGTCACCAGTCACAGTCAGAGGAGACCAACCCCGCACTCGCTGTAAGCACCTTTCAGGTACTGGAAGAGAGCAATAAGATCTCCCCTCAGCCTTCTTTTCCCATGACTGAACAGCCCCAGTTCCTTCAGTCGCTCCTCGTAGGACACAGTTCCACTTTGATCTCTACGTTAGGCCTTTATGCTTTCAGAACATTCAACACATTTCAGGAATTTCTGCAACCTAGTGTTATGTTAGATCATGCATTTTGATTTCTACTTCCCTTCCTTAAACAGATGCTGCTTCAGAAACATACTTCATATTTCCCTAACAGTCTGCCCTTTTTAAGATTTCTACAGGGGCACTTTGCCCAAATGCTCTTCTTCGACGTTCTCTTATGTTGCAAATTCTTCTTACTGTTTGAAAAAACACAATTTTCTTTTTTGAAGAACTGTGTTGCTAATTTCCCTAACACTGGCTAGCCATCAGTAAGTAATCCACTTTGAGTGCCCGCACAATATTACTTGTACAAGTCCTAGCCTACCATGTATCATTAAAATATTATTCAGTGTCCTTACCTTTCTGAATTACTCCGTTGGAACTTCGACTGGCTACCCACCCCTTACAAATCTGCCTAAGATGCAGAAGTACCCTCACTGTTTAAGACCTTTTGGTGAAAAAGATTAAGTACTCCGAAGAGTTCTTTGGGTTTCCACATATTTTTAAACTGTTTACAACACGTCCTGCTAATGCTTTTAGACCTTTATTTAAAAATTTATTTGCTGCTTCCTTTTTTCCCTTGGGAGTACACTTGTTTGTTCTTTCAGTAGGCTCTATTTGAAGACTGCATTTATTCATTTTTCAATTATATGGGGGTTTTTGTGTGTGGCTTTTTTTTTTTTTTTTCGTTTTTTTTTTTTTTTTTGCATTCTTCTTACTTTCGTAGTTTTGGAGATGGGTTCTATGCTGTAACTTAACTACCAGTTAACTTCAATGGTCAGGCCCACACTGTACTATGCAATGAATGAAAGGAACAAGGCTAGAATCAAGTTCAAAATCAAACCCAAGGGACGCAGGCAGATGAGAATTGAAATCAGTGATACTACCAGAATATGTGTGCTGTCACATGAAGTAAGCAGAAGCAAACATCATGGTTAATAAGATCTCCATAAAATTTAGCAGCAGTATTTCTTCAGGCGTTGCTTTAACACGGAAGGCAAGATGAGTTCCCTTTCTGAACATCAGCAAGCAAGCTCATTTGCAAGAGTCCTTTGAAATCACTATGTCCTAAGATTTCCCTTTTTCCACTTACTTAAACCATTGTTCAGAGCATCACAAGAAATATTTCTGTAAACCTTTTCTCTAATTCAAATAAATAGACAAAACCACAGAAACAAACTCCAGATGTTACCCACTAAAGGTGAACTGCCTATGGTCTCCTTCATTACTTTTTCTGACTAAGGTACTGACAACATCATTCCACTGTGGTATTTAATTTCATGTAATGTATATCACCACAAAAGCTTCAAGTGACAATGCTGCTTTGTCACTTCTACACTTTCCTATATGTTCCCATACTTTTATACTGCAACCCATATCCACTAGAAGACACCATCTGTCGGATGCCTGTCATATCAAGCTTTTCACTACCACAAGACCATCAATTGCTCCACTTTTGCCCAAATTTCATGCTAATAATCAATATTCGAACTACCACGTTTATACCATTGTTGACACTTCAGTTTTCCAAAAATATCAACTGATTCTCAATTCCAACACATTCTTGTTCAAACATTTATGTGACTCAAGCTTAAAGATACCAAATATCTTTAACAGATCGCTGCTTTTAGAGAAGAAGCATTGCCTCACCTTGTCAGCTTTCTCACCAATTCCTAGCACTGTTTAAACTATTTCATATATCAACTGAATGGAAATTCACTTCTAATTGGCCTCTATACATCCAGTAATTCCCAAATAAAACACTCAAATATCTCCTCCTGGGTTTTCCGGTCTAAGCTTGATACGAAGTCTGCTCTATCAGATTAGTCAAAAAGGAGACATAAGAGAACTGGCAAACATCTTGACTTCAGCCTTTCTGTGCTTTGTCAAAATCCATTTCTCTGTTTACAGACAGCTTTCTAAAAGTCACCTCAGGAAATCTGCACCTATAAATACTAAAGCAGTTCACAACTCAGCATCATGAGAAACATTAGAAAAAATAACAGAATGATCGAAGCTAGAAGGGAGCTCTGGTCCAATCTCACGTTCCATCAGAGACAGCTAGAGCAGGGGCCTAGAGCCATGTCCTGGTGGCTTTCTGGTGGCTTCACTAAAGATCACCAAGGGGGAGAGTCTGCGACCCCTCTGGACGACCTCTGTCAGTGCTCCATCACCAACAGTACAGAAGTGCTTCCTCATGATCAGATGGAACCTCCTGTGCTCCAGTTTGTGCCTACTGCCTCTTGCCCTGCCCTTGAGCACCTCTGAAAAGAGCATGGCTGCATCCTCTATGCACCCTCCCTTCAGGTATTTATACACATGCTTCATATCTGTCCTGAGCCTGAACAGTCCCAGCTCTCTCTGTTTTTCCTCACAGTAGGGGAGCTCCTATTCCTTGACCATTTTGGTGCCCTTCCATTGGCCTCTTCTCAGTATATCCAGGTCTCTCTTGTTCTGAGACCTACTATTGCAGGTACAACCTCACCAGCACAAAGTAGAGGGGGGAAGGATCACCTCTCTGGACCTTTGCTTAATGCTGCTGTGAACAACATTAGTGTTCTTAGCGGGAAGAGCACACTGCTGATTCACGTTCTAGCAGGACTACTCTGTCCTTTTCTGCAGAGTTGCTTTCAAGCTGGGTGGCCCTCAGCATATTGGTGTCCGAGTTTATTCCCTTCCAGGTGCAGGACTCTGCACTTGTTGATCTTCATGGGATTCCTGTAAGACCAACTCTTCAGCCTACCAAGGTCCCTCTGGATGGCAACATGGCCCTCTGGGGAACCAGCAACTCCCTCTAGCAACATTCTCTTAAGTCCCACAATACGTCCATGTTTATCCACTCACAGCACTGGACACTGAAGGTGTCTGACCCTGCACAGCACTATAAATCATTGACACTACCTCCTTTACCTTTTCCACTCCAGAACTGAAGTTGCTCAGTCTTCACCAAATATCTTTCAGAAGCAGAGGTCATGCAGAGAAACACAGAAAGGTGGCAGAAGTAGCCTATGAGATTCAAGTGATAGGGATCCCAAGTCTCTGGATCATTGTGTAAGAAAGCAGTGAGGGCTGACTCTTACTTTAATTTAAATCATCAACTTTATATTGTTCCAATATCACATTTTACAAACTCATTAAATGTATTGTGTAAGTTGCTCTTTTCAATTCACATGGGTTTCAGAGAAGTCCAGCCATTCGAGGGTACTCACAGAACAGCTGAGGCTCGAAAGGATCCCTGGAGATCACACACTCCAAGCCCTTGCCCAAAGCAGAGTCAACTAGAGTATGTTGCTGAGGACACTGTCCTACCAGGTCTTGAACATCTCAAAGCACAAAGAGTCCACAAGCTCTCTGGGCAACCTGTTCCGCTCCACTACAGAAGTTCTTACATTTAAGTTGGATTTACTGTATTTCAGTCAGAGACCATTGCCTCTTGTTTGTTCCCTGGATATCACTGAGAAAAGTTGGACTTTGTCTTCTCTACACCTTTCCTTCAGGTATTTATACACACCAGTAAGATATCCCAAGCCTTCTCCTACTCATGTAAGTAGTTGTAGCTTTCTCCGCCTCTCTTCATCATACTCCAATTCTTTAATCGCATTCCTGGCTCTCCCGTGGATTCACTGTAGTATGTCACGTCTGTCTTGCACTGGGGCACCCAGAACAGGACACAGATCTCCAGACTAGTGCTGGGTAGGGAAGAATGATCACCTCCCTTGACCTGCTGGTTATGTTTTTCCTAATGCAACCACAGAATCACAGAATGGCCTTGGTTGGGAGGGACCTCAAGGATCATGGATCTCCAATGCACCCCCCCACAGGCAGGGCCACCAACCTCCACATTTCATAGCAGCCCAGGCTGCCCAGTGCCCCATCCAACCTGGCCCTTGAACACCTCCAGGGACGAGGCAACCACAACCTCTCTGGCAGCTGTTCCAGCACCTCACCACTCTCTCTGTAAAGAATTTCCCCAACATCCAACCTCAATCTCTCCTCCCTCAACTTAAAACCATTTCTCCTTGTCCTGGAACCCTGGATGCTGTTGGCGCGAAGAGCATAGTGCGCTCTCATGTTTTGTCAGATTGAGCAACTCCAGGACTCTCCCTCCCAAGTCTTTTTTTTCCTAAACTCTTCACCAGCTTTATTGCTCTTCTCTAAAGTACACCCAGCAACACAGTATCTTTTTTGTAGTGAAGGACTCTGGTCTGAAGGCAGCACTCCAGGCGTGGTCTCGCCAGTGCCAGATACGGAGTGACAATTAACTGCCCTAGTCCTGCTGGCCCTGTTATTTCTGAGAAGAGGGGAAGGCTACTGGCCTTCTTGGCACAGTGACAACAAGGGCCAGCCACACTGCCACCTCAAGGTAAGCTCACTGCTGACCAGCACCCTCAGGGCCTTTTCCTGATAGACAACTTTACAGCCACTGTTCCACAAGCCTGCAGTAGTGCATGGAGTCGCTATGACCCAAATGTAGTACCTGCCACTTAGCCTTGTTGCATGCCATACAATTGGACACAGCCCACTGATGTAGTCTATCCGAATCCCCCTGCAGAGCCTTTCAATCCTTAAGCAGATGAACACTCCCACCCACCTTGGTGAGATCTGCCAACTTTCTGAGGGTGCACTCACTCCCCTCATCAAAATTGTTCATAAAAGTATGAACAAAACTTGCTCCAGTACTGAGCCCTGGGAACACTGCTTGTGACTGGACTTAACTCTATTCACAACCACTGTTTTCACACATCCATCCAGCCACCACTACTGGTCATAGAGTCGCTCCTCCCTGGGCAAAGGGCTTGGCATTTCCTTTTGCTGCATTTCAAAAGGTTCCTGTCTGCCCCTAACTACAGCCTGTCAAGGTTCCTCTGAATGGCACTGAAATTATCTGGTCTACCAGCCACTCGTTCCAGTCTTGTATTATCTACATCCCTTTTCACATCTTCCTTTCCCTCCCAATAAGAAAACATTCCAAGTTTCTACCTTGGCTTCCATGCCTCCCACTCCCACTCGAGATTTGGTTCCAAATGTCACAGACTGTTGGTCTCCTGGGTAGAATATGTCAATGAGCTTCGCATCATCAGATCCTGGAGGGCTGTTGAAGAGTCCTGAAGCAAATATTTAAAAAGAAAAAAAGAAAAAAAAAACACCTTGAAATATATCCTTGAAACTGAAAAGCTGTATTCCACTTAAAAACTTCCTCTGAGCTCTTCTCTTTGTGGGAATTAAAGCATGAAACATAACATATAGAATCAAGACATGTAGTTTTACCAAAAGTGTAGCTAATAAGGGGAAACAGATTAACACCCATGCCAAACTGTAGTGTACAAGATATGAAACACAGATATTTCAATGAGGTTAGAGAGAAAACTAGAGGGAAATTTACAGCTTTTTTTTTACTTTCAATATCAGGGCTTACAAACATAAGCACACAATTGAACAGGTACAGGACAGTCTAGTTGTAAAACATAGGAACTGAAGAGATCAGAAAAACCTGAACACAAGTTGGTTTGACTATTTTAACAAATTTGAAAGCTCAATTGGAAGGCACCTAGAAAGATCAGAATACAACTGCCTAACCACCTCAGGACCAAAAGTTTAAGCTTATTAAATATTATCCTCAGATGATATCTTTAGAGAAGCATCAACCACCTCTCCAGGAATTCTGTTCCAGTGCTTAACCACCATCACAGTAAAGAAATTTTTCCAGCTATCAAATCTGAACCTGGTGTGGTGCAGCTCTATGTCTTTCTCACATGTTCTATCATTGGTAAATCAGGAGATCAATACCCCCTTCCCCATTTCTCATGATCAGGAAGCTGGAAGAGAGCAATGTGGTCACCTCTTAGCCTCCTTTTCTCCAAACCAGGCAAATGAAGCATCCTCAGCCTCTCTTTACACAACATGCCTTACAATCCTTCTATCAGCTTTGCTGCCCTCCTCTGGAGGCTTTCAAGTGAGCAAGCAACTGCTCCTCATGGCTCCATGTAGTAACTCGCTTTCACTCCTCAGCATCTCTCAAGTTGCTACCTTTATGCTTGCTGATGCAGATGAGATACCAGATCTGAGTAGTGGCTGTTTGGATTTTGTCTTGAGGGGTATGGTTTAGAGAGAACTATTGGTGACAGGTGGACGGTTGGACTGGATGATCTTGTAGGTCTTTTCCAACCTTGGTGTTTCTGTGATTCTGTGTTTTAAGTTATCATTTGTGCACCACAGAGGGTGCACCTTCTCAAACTCCCAGATGCTTCTGTCTCTCCAGTTATCCCTGAAGCTGAGCTACCAGGCAGAGCAGTTCATTTAGCTAGGCACACCTCCCGCAGGTATGCTTGCTATCACCTTTCATTTGAAAGACTACTCCCATCACACCCTTCACACTAAATGCTGGGTAGTTATATGAACTGACTGGAGCTCCATCTGGGTGGTTGCACTAGACCTACTGGATGTCAGAAGAACAGGAGCAGAGGGCGTAGTTTTCTGTCTAGTGGACATTTTTACAGACTTGAACACTTTCCTTACATTACTGTTTACAAACCTGCTACATCTGAAAGAACAATAAGGAGATCAGCCTTCATTTCAACAGCCAGACGTGCTGCCAAACTGTCATTATCCTTCACACTAATCACCTGCAATGAACAGACATGAAACAAGTATACTGAACAGTGGGAAGAACTAGGAAATATTTGGCTACAACATACAAACCTAAGCCACTTCAGCACTACCAAGTCCTTATTAGCTGCTTTGTTCACATCCAGTGAAAACTCTTAGAAGCTGATTTTTTGCATGAAAGTAAGTAGCCTTCTGGAATGCAGTAAAGCAGCACCAAAGTGACAGGCAGTTAGATCAGGACACTCCACAATGACACCCAATGAAAGTGCAAGAAGTACTAACAGATCATTCTTTAAGCACAGGTGTTCAATTAGATGATCTGCAGAAGTCAATTCCAGCCTCAACTATTCTGTGAAAACCAAACAGGGCACGCTCACTTTTAGCAGAGCAGATACCATTTGCCCCGCTTCCATCCCACAGTTTTATCATGTCAGAAACAGACAGCTTGGCACAGTTCTCTGCTCCCTTTGTCCACATTACTAATTTTGTACGTTTCTCTGCTTCAGGCTCCTGACGTTTATGATTACAGTGTTAGTAAACTCTCCCATCTACACAAAAGATCCACCCCCTGCAATACTTTACCCACATTTACCCCCTGTAGATCACTGTTCGGTTCTGGAGGTGGAACAACAGCATCATTAGTGTTAATTATTGGGACAATATTCATTCTTAAAAGCTCATGTAGCGTTCCATTTAAGTTCCGACGCTTCTGTTCATCATGGAAATCCAGATTGGTGACTAAAATCTAAAAGGAGAAGACAGACTTTATATATACTTAGCCCATCATTTTTTGTGACAAAACCAAAACACATAGGGGCTGCTCCAGAAGTAATGCCTCTTATTTTGTTCTGTCGACCACAAAACCAGAGACAGATGTTGGCGAGATGGTAGTAGAGGCTGAACTTTTCCATTAATATTCATTAAATTCTGTTGCTGCGCAACAGATGGTAGCAGAAGGGCAGTCTGACAAAATGGCATCCAACACAGAAGTACATATGAAGCAAAAGATATGGAATTGAATTCCTCCATGCAGAAAAAAATGGCATCTATCAACATTCACTGACACCTGCTTAATATTTATGGAGACCAAACAGTGGATGTTAGCACAGTGGGCAGCAGGTGGTGTGTTTCAGCAGTGTTGACACCGACATGAAAGACAAGCTTCTTTGGGTGACTATGCACAGCTGTCACCTCCACTGGTGCAAATATTTACACGCACAGCACATGGGTTCTTGATCACTGCTGGTGAAAATGCATAGCTAATGGTGGAGACCTGGTGCCAGGCGCAGAATTTAACCTTGGCTCGTGTTAGATTTCATGAAGATGGTGATGGCCCAGACCTCTACTTTGTTAATATTTCTCTGCAAGGCCTCTCTATCCCTTCCTAACTCAGTGTCATCTGCAAATTTACTTCATATGCATTTAAGTCCTGCATCCAGGCCATTCCCAACAGCATTGAAGAGAACTGGCCCGGAAATGAAGCCCTGTGGAACATCACAGGAGACTGGCCACTAGCCTGATGTAATTCCATTTACTATAATTCCTTAAATCCTACACGTGAGTCAATTTAACCCTTTGCATATGTATTACATATTTGCTTAGCTGCATGTTAGACATTTTGTCCAGAAAGATACTTTGAGAAAAATATCAAAACCTTTGCTGAAATCCAAAACTGGCTTCACTTGGTCAACCAAGTAAGTAACCTCGTCAATAAAAGAAAATCACATTAGACAAACATAACTTTGGCCTCACGAAACACATGCTGACTACGACCAACAACTGCCAAGAACAACTCCATCACTGAGTGGAGTAGCAAGTAAGCCTAGGAGAGAAGGCATCCCTTACTTGAGCTGCACAGATGCTGTACTGTGTAAACATGGCTTCATACAGGGCCATCAGTCCACTCTGGCCGGCTGCTGCACAGGCTCGGGCTTCCAGGACTGGAATTGCCTACAGAAACAAAGAACAGCTGTCATGCAGTGACAGGTTAGTAGGTTCTAACCAACATTCAAAGAAAAGTGGGACTGTTGCCAATCACTCACCATATCTTTTAGCTGACTTTGGCCTGAATGAAGTGCTTGCCTCACACTCTGAGAAAGCAAGATCTCATGACGCAGTCGCTGTTTTCCAAAAGCTACAGCACCACTGGTGACAATCATCATTTCTCGGCCTTGATTCTGCAGCACTGACACCTGTAAGTACAGAGAACAAGAACTGGGATACAGAGTAAAATCATGGCTAGCCTGACAGTTCAGGGCATTACAGCTATCTTACGCTCAATAATCCTTGCTGACATAAGTGTTCTGCTTATGAATAGATGTCCAAAGCAAGGCAGCCATCCTCAAAGATGTTCACTTTCCTAACCACTTGGGAGCTATGTAAAAGACTGCATGCAACCCCTAGCCTCCGCCACTGCAATCCCTAGCCTCTGCTACTCTTCCTGCATTTTTCTGTGCCATCCAACAATGACTAAATATCTGAAGTTAGAACAACCATTCTACTTCAGTTACAAAATTACCTGCTCCACAATAGATGCCAGCCTCCCAAGGGCTAAGCCACACTCATCCCCTCTTGTCACAACAGCGCTGCCCAGCTTCACGACAATCCGCTTTGCGTGCTTCAGCTCACTGCGGTGTGCAAATGACTTGCCATGTGCACGGCTGAGTGGCACGGTGATAAATGGAATGTTGCTCCAACGACGGATGGATTCATTCCTTAAACTCTGGGTATTGTGGGGGAGATCTGTGGTTAAAGAAAGAAAAAAAAAAAAATACAGTTTTAAGTGTTTAATTCGGTCTTCCAAGTTCCTTAAGTCATGTAACATTTCTTCCCTTTCCAAGGCTCACAACACACACCTCTCAGTGACAGGGAAGAAGCAGCCAGCTTTGAAGACACTGAAATAAAGTGCGAGTGAATATTCTTTAGCAGCAGTAACCAACCCTGAGGTATATAAAGCAATACCTGATGTGTTACAGCCTTGACTCTGGGAATAAATAATAAAAAAAAGACTGAATGACACTTAAGTAGTCCATCCAACTCACAACAGAAATACAAATGCTAGCTTTAAAAACACTCTCCTTTGCCTTGACTCATGAGATATAGCTAAAGAGTTTTCCTGTCTATAGCACAGCAGAAGCTTGATTGCTAGAAAAGAAAACACACCTTTTATGAAGCCTGTAGGTCAGATACTTTCTCATGTTGCTAAGCTGGGGGCAACAGAAGAGGGATGATGAACATGTGAACTGCAAGCCACCTACCTACAATATGAACAGGCATTGCAAGGAGCAGAGACAGTCACAGCATTATATTCAGGTAAGATAGAACACGCACAAGGCTTGCATCTCATTTAAAGCAATGAACAAGGGAATATTCCTTAGCAAAATCTTTGTTTATCAAAAGCTTACAAAGGATCCTAAGGCAAACCAGCCCATTATCAGCACAGAAGATTAAGGAAGAAAGTAACAGCAAAAGTACAGCTTCAATTGCAGCTCACTCCAGAGTTCATAAGTTTTGAATGATGTTATTGAGGGGATTTTCCTTTTAAGAAAAAAGCATAGGCACCTGGACGCATACTGATTAACACTACTAGAAACATGTGCTTTCTCTCATACATACAGAAACGGGAAATGGCTGCGATGGCATGTGGCGGTAACACAAAGCACCATCCAGGGGAACGGACAAGAGGGCTCAGAGCGGCTTGACACAACATTTTGAGATGCCTTCTGCAAGTCAAGGATATCTGCAAGTTAAAAGGAAGGGTGTGGGGAAACTGGTTAAATATCAGTGGATTTCCATCTGTTTCTTTCCTCCCCCAACCCACCCAACCAGACAGAGGCTCTTCTTTTTCCTGTACACTCTTAATGCAATTTCCCTGTGCAAGAAACAGCCTACTCTCCTCACACTCATACCACAACTTAGGAAACCGAAGGCTCCTCTTCCTTACCTGCTGGCAGAAGATTATTATTAAAGATGAAGAACAAAACAGAGTTCCCTGGAATAGCAAAAAATGTGAAAGACTCTTAATGAATGTACCTACAATAGAGAAAAGTTGCAACTCCGTCCATGGAGAAGCTTGGAGGAAAAAGCCTGAAAGCAGGTTGGATTACTGTACAAACTACAAAACATCAACTATACTTATCTATGAACCACAGCCCAATGTATGAGGTCTGCTTCGAGAGTAACGCCTCCTATTTTATTCCGCTGGCCCACAAAGTCAGAGGCGGATGGTAGTACAGGCTGAACTTTCACACCAATATCCCATTACATTTTTGCTATGCAGCAGATGGGCATTCTGACAAAACAGCATCTGACACAGAACTGATTATGAAGCAAAATGTGCCATTGCATCCCTCCATGCAGAAAAAATTGCACCCCCTGACATCCACTGAAGTTCGCTGAATGTTTATGGAAACTAACCAGTGGATGTCAGCACAAGGAGGCAGTGGGTGGTGTGTTTCAGCAACGATGCCATCACTACTGCAATGAAACAGTGGTTACCTCCACAGGTATAGATTTTCATGAGCGCAGCATGCAGGCTTTTGTTCACTGCTGGTGAAAATGCATAGCTAGTGGTAGTGACTACTATGAAAAATAGAGCAAATTCTCAGCTACAAAACACTACTGGACAGTGATTATGCATTCTTCATATCTGTTGTGATATCCATGGAAATAAATAGGAGACTGTCACAGAGTTAATGCAATTTCCCTGTGCAATTTCCCTGTACGCCTAGTCTTTCAAGGTCAAGTTTTCCAGCACAGAAACCAGAACTACTGATAGTGCTCCCTGACAAAGCTCTCTAAGAGCAGAGAGAGATTTGTTCTGAAAGCTAAAAACCAGCTATGCCCGCATTCTTCACCAAAAATCTGTCACAGAGTTAACCAGATCAATCTATGCCCATGACAGGGGGGGCAGTAGGTGCCTGCCCTCCTTCCCACCCCAGCCCCACAAAATGGGACGGAAGGACGGAAGGACGGACAGAAACAGTGGCAACAATCTATGGAAGAAAACTTATTTTACTAACTATGATACCGGAATGCAAGATAACAATATAATACAATCTAATTGAAATTGAGACTAATAAATCAAATAAGATAGGAGAGACCCCTGGGATGTAAAGTCAAAATTCAAACCATACCACATTGCATATAGGTACCATGCAGGTGTCTCCATCAGTGCCCTTGGTTGGTTATATATGAACACAATTCCACAACAAGTAATTATGACATTGATAATTGGCCAGTAAGTTGCGAGTAACATCATGGCTTTTAATCCTTTACACAGCGCCCACACGATAAAGAGTGGGTTCATCACTGGTGCCTGCTAAAAAAGGGTTAATGAATTGAAGCTAACAAGACAAGGGAAAAAAAAGGAAAAAGGCACTACCCAGACTAAGCAGTGCTCAAAGTTTACAAATATCCCAGAATGCTGGCAGTATGTCTTGCCTTTCAAGGTCAAGTTTTCCAGCACAGAAACCTGAACTACTGATAATGCTCCCTAACGAAGCTCTCCCTAATGAAGGGAGGAAAAAAACAGTGGCAACAATCTATGGAGGAAAACTTATTTTACTAACTATGGTACCAGAATGCAAGATAACACAATATAATACAATCTAATTGAAATTGAGACTAATAAATCAAATAAGATAGGAGAGAGAGTTCCCGAGACCAAGTCAAACCTGAAAAGCTTGGAACGGCTAGGAAAGCACCCTCCAGCACCCACTGCCAGGCAGAAAGTGACCGCCCCACCCGGAAGGGCCAGATCCCATGACTTCTGTAATGTACGGGGATAGGTACCTGGAATTGGAGCATTAACACTTTAATTCCCAGTACACTACATGATGTTTTGATGAGGAATACTGAAAACCAAAAAAACCAAAAAACAAAAAACATAAAACCATGATAGAGGTGTTACTTCCAGAATGACCTATGTAGAACTACAGAATAGCTCAAGTTGGATGGGATCCACAAGGAACATCGAGCCCAACTCCCAGCTCCACACAGAACTGCCCAAAATTCACACTACATTTCTGAGCGCTTCCAAACAGCAAGATATTAACACTGATTATGAGTAAGGACATCAGTTTCCCTTGACTGAACTTTTAAGCACTCAAAGCTCTTGTAACCCTAAAGTCACTGGAGCAACTACCCAGCAAATGAGGGATACGGAATTGGCAATTTCCTATAACCAGTGTACTTGAAGTAATGCATCTACAGTACTACAAAGAAAAGCAATGAATACAAATCCAGTTCTCCTGGGTAGTGCTTACACAATGAGACCTCTCATTTCCCTTCTAGAAAATTTTGCTTCCTCCACTTGCTTTCAATCAAATAACATTACAAAAGCTGCAGTGAGAGCCTTGAACGGAAGAAAACGAGAGCTCATAGTAACCATATCGGAACTCTTACATATATCTTGACAGATACAATGCCCGGCAGTTCTGGCCAATGCGTATATTAACACTATAAATATCTGAAGTTGCTTAATTACCCTCGATCAGTATATCGCTATTATGTTTCATTACAATCCTTACCAAGTTATACACCTCTGCACAGAACAAATAACCCACCTGCAGATAATGATTCTCCTATTTTTGCTGATAAAGATCACAAAGCGTGGCATTTAAACTATTAGTCTATTAATCCATCATGCCCCTCCAGTTCTGTATTTCACCTGAAAAAGCAGCTCTGATCATTACAAGTATGAGGCAGAAAAAGGACTCAGGACTGATGATTGAGTTGAACAAGTAGTCGAAGTCTGCTTCGCATAAAGACATTTAAATTAACTAGTGAAGGCTACCAGCCAGACACTTAGTACCTGAAGACTTCAGATGCCCTCTGTCACTTAGGCGTTTCAGGCGTATGCCTTCGGGAGATAAAATTCCCATTGTCTGTGTGTCTCACCATTTGATTCTCCCACCTCAAAGTTCACCCTGCCACCCAGTACCAGACATCATCTTCCCTGCATGCTCCTTGTTTTATCTCTAGGGGATGCTTGCAGTCCAATAGGCTGGTAAAGGACAGAACATAAAAAAATAAAATATCAACTTTATTAAAAAAAAAATAATCAGAAGAAGAAGGTGTGTGACATAAGAATGATGCTGCTGTCAGAAACTACAGCTAGACCACAGGGCGCTCTGTAAATCATAGAATCATTTAGATTGGAAATGACCCTTAAGATTATCAAGCCAACCATCATCTAATACTACCAAGTCCACCACTGAGCCACGTCCCCATGCACCACATCCACACAGTCCTTAAAATACCTCCAGGAATGGCAATTCCTCCACTTCCCTGGGCAAGCAGTTCCAATGCCTGACCATTCTTTCTGTCAAAAAATTCTTCCAGGTACTCACTCTAAACCTCCCATGGCACAACTTGAGGCTGTTTCCTCACTTTCTATCAGTTGTTACTACAAACTTCTTTTCAGGTAGTTCTGGAAAGTGATAAAGTCTCCCTTGAACCTCCTCTTTTCCAGACTGAACCACCCCAGTTCCCTAATGCTGCAGAACAATTCTCTCTCCTCTCGCTGAATCAGGAATTTAGAATTTACTTTCCATCCCACCATTATTTCCAGAATTTTCATACTTGTAAGGGTTCTACTCTGCAGTAACAAACCAAAAAAGACATTAGGGGAGAAATAAATAAATAAATAAATAAATAGAAATCAAACTTCTGCCTTATTAGGGGGAGGAGGGAGATGACAGACTGACATCAATAAAAATAAATGCAAAATGCATTATTTAGGTACAAGACTCTAGCACCCACCTAAAATCTTGTTGCCATTACTAAGAGAACCTACTTCCTGCAAACTAGTCTCCAAAAGTCTTTTAAAAATGCCATTCTTCCATCGTAACTTTAAGCAAAGAAAAGTTATCCTTATGCTATCTCACAGAAAGCATTGCTATTAGCTAGTTTTCATGAAGTTACTGTTTTCAAAAGACCTGTTAAGTAGCCCACTACGTTAAAATGTGCTTCAGATCAATGTCAAGAACTAAGCCAACTTCCCATGTAACCTGAAGTGGAATGGAGGACTCAAATCCTTAAACTGGTGTCTTTCATGACAACCTATGAAACAGATATATCTTTTTCCCCCAAAAGAACCCATCTCCTATAAAAGGAGCTATAAAGTACTATAAAGTACTTTATACAGCTATAATATATATAATATATATAACGTATATACAGTACAGCTATAAAGTACTGCAGTGCACGACTGAATAGAAGCCTATCACTTGATCTGCAAAACCTGTTCAAATATTTCTAATCTTAAGTACTCCAAAGATAACATCTGCACAATTTCAGTATTGATCCCTTTTATCTTGTATATAAATCAGTTAAGCAGCACAAGCAGGTTTGTGCAGCAAGGCACAGGAAGCCAACCTAGAGCCTCCCTGAAAAGGGCACGGTAAGGAGCCGAGCATTGCACGCTATGAAAAAGCAGAAGAACTCATGCACAGACGGTATTCCAGGTTAGCAAAATACTACAGCAGGCAAATCACTTGTGCAGAGTCACCAGTGATATCTACACGTGTTGCTTCTCGTCAGAGTGCTTAGATCCACCTGAATTTCCATACCTGATCCCTCCGGCTGAAACTGTAACAAAGATTTCTACGAGAAGCAGCGACTTGCAGGTAAACCGGGAGGCAGAGACGGCTCCTGCAAGGGCTGCGGAGGCAGACCCAGCTGACCTGCAGCAGCCAATCCCCGACGCCCTGACAGCACAAGCCACATCAGCACCGCAAGAACAGAGCAACCACTGGCTGATGCAACTTCAGCGCCTTCAGCAGACTCCATCCCTCCCGGACACGCACACACCTTCCCAGCCTGCTGTCCCAGCAGATGATGTAATTCTACTCCACGTTGCAGCACAAAATCCAGCATTAATGACTGTTTTCTGTCTAGTCCCAGACTAGTCCAGACAGCCCTACCCACAGTACAGACTGCCTGGCCATCTCTCCACCAGCTTTCCCTGACCTGGATTCTCCCCGTTCTCAGACGTCTGCTGTCTGAGCAATTCTATGATGCAGGCAGGAGACTAAAGGATCTTCGTAGCCCAGCTTTTGAGAGTGGCTTCATCTCCCTAAGCATTCTGTCTCCTTTGTTTTCTCCGCTGCATCCCAAACCTTTCTGCTAGGGCAGGAGTGCTGCTGGCTTAGCTGCTCACTTGCCTGCCATATACACCACTCGCAGTCATTTCTGAATTAAAGACAAAGCACTCATTGCTGAATTCAGTAAAAACCATAACAACACTACAGCTTTTCATCTTTGCACACATTATAAAATTAACCATAGTTCCCCACTTAAACTCAGATGCTGGCTATAGTGTTTCCTCTCTATAGTTATTTTACTACTGTATTCTCATCTTTGTACTGCAGTAAACAAATTCCACCAGCACTTATTCTCATGTTGCTAAAGGACACCAGTTGGCGGGAGGGGGTTGTTCAGTTTCATGTGTTTAAATGGTAGATGCCTCACTACCTAAGATCAGGAAACAATCTCATCTGAAGTTTCAAATCCATGGAGGAAACCTCACAAAGGGTAAACAATATTCAAGGGGTGGACAGACTTAAAAAACCGTCCACATCCCAATAAGTTACAGAAGACCCAGCCTACAGTTATCTATCAAAGATTTTGTTGTCCCCACAAAAGGGAAAACAAACTGATGCTTCCCTCCCCCCAAAAAGCAGATATAAAGATACCACTTTGGTAGAAGACTATCTGAAGACTTCCACTTTGCCAGAGGTAGCATTTGTTTCCAGTACAGCACATACGCTCTGCATCCCCTCCTCTTCACTCCATTTATTAGGATTATTACTAACAACAGTGATTAAAGAAGCCAATGTAGCTTAACACGCAAGCAAAAAGAGCTGCTAACTCTTCCTTTTGATTTTTAAACATGTAACAAAAAACAAGCCCTATTTTAGATTGAGCTAGACAGTTTTTAGAACATGTAACTCCTCTGATCTATGCTTGCAAATAAAAAGCTACAGGTTCCCCTCAACTACTGCAGCTACTGAGGAGATGGTTTGGTTCATCAGATGCTGAAATAAGAAAGAAATTATTAAGAGAAACAAGGAGCTAAATCAGCACTTTTGTTTCCCACATAAAACTTTTAGCTCTTCCACAAGGATGCTTGTTAGCATCAAGGAGCCAAGATTTCTTGCCTGAAGAGCAGTAGTTTACCTTAGTGTACAGCAAGCATGCTAAGATATCAACAGTGCAAAAACTGTGGTTTCAGACAGTTAAAGGTAGTGAATACCCTGATAAATCTCAAGAATTCCATCTTCAAGAAAAAAGCACAAGAACCACACCAGAACCTTTTACATCACAGCCTCCCCTCAGGAAGCTGTACAGTGCAGTGAGGTCTCCCCTGAGCCTCCTCTTCTCCACACTGAACTATCCCAGCTCCCTCAGCCGCTCCTCGTAAGACTTGTGCTCCAGACCCCTCACCAGTTTCATTGCCCTTCTCTGGACATGTTCCAGGGCCTCAATGTCTTTCTTGTAGTGAGGGGCCCAAAACTGAACACAGTACTCGAGGTGCAGCCTCACCAGTGCTGAGTACAAGGGGACAATTACCTCCTTGCTCCTGCTGGCCACACTATTTCTAATGCAGGCCAGGATGCCGTTGGCCCTCTTGGCCACCTGGGCACACTGTCGGCTCATGTTCAGCCGAGCATCAACCAACACCCCAAGGTCCCATTCCTCTTCACAGTCATCCAACCACTCATCCCCAAGCCTGTAACGCTGCACGGGGTTGTTGTGGCCAAAGTGCAGGACCCGACACTTGGCCTTGTTAAACCTCATCCCATTCACCTCAACCCAGCGATCCATCTTATCTAGATCCTTCTGCAGGGCCTCCCTACCCTCAGGCAGATCGACACCACCTCCCAACTTGGTGTCATCTGCAAACTTATTCAGGGTACACTCAATCCCTTCATCTAAGTCATCAATGAAGATATTAAACAGCATGGGCCCCAGCACCGACCCCTGGGGGACACTACTTGAAACAGGCCTCCAGCTAGACTTAACTCCATTGACCATCACCCATTGCACATGACCAGGCTGCCCAGGGCCCCATCCAACCTGGCCTTGAACACCTCCAGGGATGGACGGGGCATCCACAGCCTCTCTGGGCAGCTGCTCCAGCACCTCACCACTCTCGTAGCAAAGAACTTCCCCCAACATCCAATCTCAATCTGCCCTCCCTCAACTCCAAACCATTTCCCCTTGTCCTGTTGTTATCTACCCTTCCAAAGAGTTGATTCCCCTCCTGTTTGTAGGCTCCCTTTAGGTACTGAAAGGCTGCAATGAGGTCACCCCGCAGCCTTCTCTTCTCCAGGCTGAACAAGCCCAGCTCCCTCAACCTACCTTTGTAGGGGAGGTGCTCCAGTCCCCTGATCATCTTTGTGGCTCCTCTGGACCCTCTCCAACAGCTTCCTGTCTTTCTTGTCCTGGGGGCTCCAGACCTGGACACAGTACTGCAGATGGGACCTCACGAGGGCAGAGTAGAGGGGGACAATCACCTCAGTGTCCCTGCTGGCCACCTCTCTTCTGATGGAGCCCAGGATCCCATTTGCTTTCCAAGCTGCAAGAGCACACTGCTGGCTCACGCTAAGTTTTTCATCCATCAGGGCCCCCAAGTCCTTCTGTGCAGGGTTACTCTCAAGGACTGCTCCTTCCAGTCTGTATAAATGCTTGGGATTCCTCCAGCCCAAGTGCAAAACCTTGCCCTTTGCTGTGTTGAACCTCATTAGATTCACCTGGGCCCATCTCTCAAGTCTGCTGAGGTCCCTCCGAATGGCATCCCTTCCTTCCACTGTGTCAACCACACCACAACACTCAGCTGGGTGTCATCAGCCAACTTGCTGAGGCTGCACTTGATTCTGTCAGCCATGTAATTGATAAAGATGTTAAAGAGCACTGGTCCCAAGACAGACCCCTGGTGGACACCGCTTGTCACTGGCCTCCATCTGGACATAATACCATTCAACACGAGCCTCTATGTAAGGCCTTCTAATCAATTCCTTACCTAGCAAATAGTCCCCCCAAATCCACATCCCTTCAGTTTTGAAATAAGGATGTGGTGGGGGACAGTGTCAAAGGCCTTGCTCAAGCCCAGGTAACATTGGTCACCTTCCCTTTGTCCACCAATGCCGTCACTCCATCATAGAAGCCCACCAGATAGGTTAGGTTTTCCCTGGTAAAGCTGTGCTGTCTGTCTCGGATCACACACTCATTCCACATGCAATCAAGCATGATGTCCAGGAAGATCTGTTCCATGATGTTCCCAAGTACAGAGGTGAGACTCACCGGCCTGTGGTTCCCCAGGTTGCATGGAAGTCTGGGCAGCCTGATCTACTGGCTGGCAAACCTGCCATGGATGGGGGATTGGAACTAGAGGATCTTTAAGGTCCCCCCAACATAAGCAATTCTATAATTCTATGAACAAGATTGCTAAGCAAGCAACATGAGAAAACAGCTTAAGCACAATCATCAGTGGTTGAGTTGGCATCTTTCCAGCATTTCCTTCTTCCAGAAATCATCGCTCTTTTCTGGTCTGGATCAAATCTGAATCAAATGATTTCCTCTAAAACCTTTACCAAGCAGTAAAACTCCATCAGCTATTAAGGATAAAAAGATGATAGAAAATATCTCAGTTTTGTATCAGTTTTCCTATGACAATCAAATCAAGGTGCACGAGCATTACAAGTCATTCAGGAGAAAAAAACAGAGACTGAATAAAATTTTTATAATAGCTATGGCTAAAACAGTAACACTGATATCACTACGAGATAAAATGCAAATTGAGTACCTGGACACATGCTCGTGTTCAGGAATAAATGAAGTTAAAGAAATGTAAGGATAGAAAGAAAAGCTTGAAAAATGCAAACTGAAATCAGTAGTTTTGTTCAATATTTCAGGAGAAAGATAAACGTTTACATTTAGTACCATGCACTTCAGCCTCCCTCTTACAGCTCCTCCAGTATGTCTTACTGAAGCTTTAAATGCACTTTTTCACCGTTCCAGACTTTTTCAAACCCTCCATATCCAAGCCCCCATTGTAGAATGAACCTCTTCTACCGTCTTATAATAATCTGTAAGCCAGCTGGCTGCAGCCTCTTGCAAAGAAAGACAGGGAAAATTCACCAACAGTAAGATTTGTTCATGCCCTATCATTTCTCTAAGAAGAGCACCACTCAAAATAGTATTTATCCTCTCAACTCCATGAAATATTCAGCTCTGTATTCCATTTTAGTTCCCTGTTTTTAAGACATTTACCCTTACCTACCTCTCCTTTTTTGTTCTGTCCTCAGAACGATGTGTTTTTCTCTTCCTTTGTTGCTGCGGAGATTAAAGGCATTCCTTTTCTATCAAAGGTACGCTGATACCTAGTCCTAACACAGAAATTTTTTTTAAAAAAAATCAGTAGGACAGCAGTTTGTGTCCAACTCCCAAATACAGTACACAGCTACGATAAGAAAACAAAACTTAACCACTCCTCTGGTCTTCAGCTTTACGTGACTATGGTAGCATTCACCTTCTCCACAGCATCTGTAACACTGCAGACTTCCAGTGCGCACACCTTCTCGTTCCTCCCTGAGGCTGCGGAGCTCAAGCGGCACATAGACAGCACCAGCACCAGAAGCATCAGTTTTGCCACCCCTACTGCCTCCTGTGTAAGAAAACTGTGTAAGCTTTGGTCATCAAGATTTCTTTACCTATAACCCTGTCACTCCTTTTAGAGAGCTATTAGATTTCTTCTCATACAAAACAAACAAACAAACAAAAATAAAAAAAAAACCACCCACACCCTGTTGTATTTTGAGTGATGAAATAGCATACAACAGACACAGGCTTATTACCAGGAGTAAAGCCAAAGCCTGGATATCTGCGTGTCAGGAGGGTTTACGTCTTTTCTTTGGGCTCAGAGAAATCTTCATGATAGGGCCAAGCAACATACAAAGAAACAGGCAGGACAAAGATGTGCAGCGGCTCCGTTTCTCCAAAACTCCCAGTGAATGAAGCCAATGTAGTTCTCCATTTACTGCTCGCAAAGGCCCCAGGAGCAGTTCCACTCTGTCGTTGGCTCTATATAACAGTAATGCTCTGCGGCCATCAAAACAGCCCAAAATAAAGTCTACGCGCCTCAAGACAACTTCACAGGGCCGTTAGGATGAGCGCCCAGATGCCCGCAGCACGGGGCGGTACCTGTATCGTCGCAAGGCTCGACTGGCTCGTTTTCAAGGCGACTTCCTTCGGGCCCGACCGAACCACAGGAGGGGAACCGGACAGAGACCGCCGGCGGTCAGCGCAACGCAGCGCCGGCGGCACCGCGCGCTCGTCGACACGCGGCTACGACCCAACCCCCCCGCGCCCGCCGCCTTCCTCCGCAGCCCGGCCAGCTCCCGCGGCGCCGGCACCCAGACGCGGCTCACGGCCGCGGCCCGCGGCTTCCCGACCCGCTCGCGGCCCCCTGCGTCCGCCGCAGAGCTCCGGCAGTGCGGCGCACGCAGGCTTCAGGCCGGTCCAGGCCCGCGCCCACACGGCCGGACTCCCGCCAGCGACTCTCCAGTAGAACAGGCGTTCAGGCGGGCGAGCGCCCCTCGAGGCGAGCCCGCGGCGGAAGGAGCGTTCGGGTACAAATGGGAGCGACCCCGGCGGCCCGACAGCAGTCGAGCCCGAGGAGGGAGTCGGTGGCAGGACGGCGGCAGGAAGGCGGCGGCTTCACTTCCGCAGAGCCCGGCGGCTCGCGGCGGTCGCACGGCGCCTGACCCAGGGATGCTCGCGGCTCCTCCCGGCGGAACGGACCGCCTCCAATTCCATCTGACTCTGAGTAAAACTCGATGAAATATTCAACTGCGCTGTGAGCGCACACCGCTGGCTCGTGAAGGCCAACTGTATCCCGGGCTGCATCAAGAGAAGGGTGACCAGCAGGGCGAGGGAGGTGATTCTGCCCCTCTGCTCTGCTCTCGGGAGACCCCACCTGGAGCACTGCGTCCAGTTCTGGGCCCCCAACACAAGGAGGACTGGAGCTGCTGGAGCGGGTCCAGAGGAGGACCACGAAGATGATCCGAGGGCTGCAGCACCTGCCTGCAAGGCCGGGCTGAGAGACATGGGGCTCTTCAGGCTGCAGAAGAGAAGGCAGCAGGGAGACCTTCTAGCGGCCCAAAAGGTGCCTACGGAAAAGCTAGGGAGGGATTTAGTGTAGGAGCATACAGCAACAGGACAAGGGGAAGTGGCTTTAAACTGGAAGAGGGACGATTTAGACTAGATATCAGGAAGAAATTCAGTATTGTGAAGGTGGTGAGACACTGGAACGGGTTGACCAAGGAGACTGTGGATGCTCCCTCCCTGGGAGCATTCAAGGCCAGGCTGGATGGGGCTGTGAGCAACTTGGTCTAGAAGGAGGTGTTCCTGCCTACAGCAAGATCTAGTTCTTTAGGGTCCCTTCCAACCCAAACCAGTCTATGATCCAACGTATAAGTCTTAACTCCAGTCCTCTCTCTACATTCCCTGAAAGCACTCGGTTTCTGGAAACAAGTTCATTTTAACTTCCTCCTTCCTGCTCCTCATTCTTGCAACATCTCTCAATTACCCCTTCCTTTAAGAATTTCACTTCAAAGAGGTTTAAAGATTGTGTATATGGAGAACAGGAGAATGAGAAGACATGGGACAGAAACTAATCAAGTGCGTTAATCCATCAACAGAAAGCACATAAGATAGGATGGACAGTATAAGAATCTGATGAACAGTTTACGATCTGGATCACACCACAAATGCACTTAAAGTTCAGTAAGTGAATTTATACAGGTTTCATCTATTTGACTCTCTTCAACAGCAGAGAATACTAGACAATATTAGAATCACAACAAAGTAGGCAGTCAAGTCATCTCTGTAACTTCTTTCAATATTCAGCACCATCTTGAATGGAAAAAAAAAGTCAAATGGGAGTTTCCAGTGTACTTTGGGCAGGCCACGTGGAGGTTCTGGCCATTCCGTCATTTCAGTGAAGGTAACAACAGTTGTCAAAGGCACCAAGCTTGTGCTTAGGGACTGTAACAAAATGTGAAGTAGAAAGAATTCAGCATGCCTAATGCAAAAGATGCATCTCCAAGGTAAGTTCTGTAATGGACTCTTGAAACAGCTTGTGTGCTCCACAAGGTTTTAAGGGACAAGACATACACAGCTACTGAACTTTTATAACTCTTACTTTACACTGAACTTAATTTAAGGTTTTGACTCCTTAATTTGAAGTGGCTTGTGATTGAAAAGAAAGTACCTCTTCTACCTGTACAACTGACTGTGAACATTAATCACCAAAGCCATAAAACCAGCTTCCTCTACAGATCAGTTAAATCAAACTCTTGCCACTGTAGCCAAACCACTTCTAAAACTTGGTAGATCAACTCCTCAAAATCAAGACCACTTGATACCTTGGTTCTTAAATAATCTGTGAATCCATTTCATACTGCTACATGAGAGAAGGATTTGAAATACTTGAAATCCCATACCTTTAGGGATTGACACTGATAAAAGTACCGTACACCCCATATTTGAGCTTGTGGGTTGGACAGGAGACCCATCTTAGTCCACAATATCTGCATATCCAGAGTCACAGGAATCATGCAACAGGAACTGCAATTCTCAGTCTGAAAATAAAATGTAACCCAAACATCTTAATACAGTAATTTAAATGTTAAAAAGGACCATTATGATCAAAACTCAATACTTCAGATAGCAAAAGTCTCAGAATCTCAATCACTTCAGGACTAACCCCATAACTTCTTGTCAGGTCAGCTGCCTGTTTTAGAGCTGTATCCATCTCACTGTCATCTAATTTCCAGACAGAATTTATCTCACCTCTATCACTTGGATTTTGCCTTCTATGAGGACACCTTCTAATAGATGAATAATTATTAAAACAAAATTTGCCTCCCCAACAAGCACTTGGATTGCAAGCTCTTAGCTTTAGTTTGGCAATATTTATATATCACTAGAAACATCAAAAAAAAATCAGAAAAGATGGTAACGGAAGCATCATTTTTGGAATGTAAAGGAATCATCATTGGAATAAACAGCTTGTATTAATCTTAGAACACAGTCAGAAAATTAACCAGTACAACAGCAGATTAAGCATTAAACTCTTCTTGGCTATTTAAATACCATTACAAGGAATCAAGAGAGATTAAATCTATCAGTTTTTTGTTGTTTAGTAAATATCCTAACAATATGAACACTAATAAATATGAGCATTTATGAGTATTAAGACTCCTGAAAGCCAGTGCATTACTACACAAATAAAACTAGCCTTGATGAACAAGCAGGTTCTTTTTTTTTTTTTTTTTTTTTTTTTTTTTTACATTACTTACACCTCTCAAACTAAAACAAAGATATGAAAAAGATATTCAGATCGTCTTCTTGCATTTATATTACCTGTACACTGCAGTTCTGGATCAGAATGGTCACCCACTCTTCTTCTTGGCTTGAACGAGCACTACCAATTATAGCAAGGTCCTCTGCTTGGTTCATCCCCTGAAAAGCCTCATATAACTTTAGCTGGATGTAACTGCAATTACTTTTTTCCACTTGAGTTAGCCTAGAATGAGGAAAAAAAAGTAACAGCTTTATCTAAAGGGCTTTCCAAGACAGAAGCAGATGGCATCAACAGCCTTCCTCAGCAACAAGCATTTCTTCTGTTCTTCTGATGAGTCAACTTTCAATTGTTTCTGCAAAGAAAAGGGTGAACAGCATGGCAGGATAACACGAAGAATACTGACAGCTTCTTAGCCATCTTACCACCTCAATGATGGCTAAAAAGCTGTCAGTATTCTTCAACATTTCACCTGAAATGTCTTCCTGACATTACTTCCTGATCTTTCACCAACGAAATAATAAACCAAATTAGAATAATCCTTTTTTAAGGTTCTATTATAATTCACTTTTCAAATAACTTTACTCTTCTCTGCAACATGTTGCCAGACCAAAGCCTGAAGATTTCCTACTAGATCATCTCTCACGTTCAAACTGTTCTAGAATTTCACCATCCCTCCAACAGTCTAGTTTTCTTAGGTTTCATATGAAAGATCTGTATTAAAACCATGGGTGACCTTAAAGAGGTCTTGGTCTTAAAGACCTTGGCTCCACGGAAGTGAAAACTACAGAAAAAGGTGCCAAGTGACTCCATGCCTCCTAGACGTTTCAGGAAGAGTGAAAGGGTGACCACAGATCGTGTTCTTACCTGAGTTTGCAGCCAGTCCTCATATTGCTTCCAAATCGTACTGTGTGTCTCAGAAACTGCGAGCAACTGCCATCACCCTCACTCTGCAGAATGCTCATCTAACAATCTGCATGTCAAGAAGCAGATCACAAAGGACACTCGATTTGTATTTAACAATCTTCTTACTGCACATTCCTCCTTTATACTATCACAGGTCTACAATTCAGCCCTGACCAAAAAGCTTATTGCAGGCTGCAGTTATACTGAAGTATGCCCTCACAGGCAAAGGTGCAATCTCAGAAGTCCAAGCAACATAGTAACAGAAGTCAAGAAACCAAATGACAGAAAACACAACAGCACAAAGGATACGTGCTGCACTGCACTTCCATTTGCAATCAGTAGTGGTGCTCCAGTGATATAACCAGGGTTTCCACTTCTAGGCAGTGTATGAGAAAGCATCCTGGTCTACAAAGAGGCAAAGAAAAGAAACAAAGCATGAAAAAAATGTTAAAAAAAAAAAAAAAAAGAGAGAAAAACATGAGTATTAATTAGATCTGTTCATCTCAGGAGAGTAAATTCGCATTCTTGGAAAAGTAGACTTAACCTTTTTTTTTTTTTGAATGACTGAATATCTGAACATTATATGCTACTGAAGCCTCCACTGTTTGATTTCAAACAGTCTTTTTTTACCTGACAAGCTAATTCATAGTCCAGGAGGTAAACAAAACCAAGCAACGACAACAAAACAAAAAACCCCAAACAAACAATCCAAGCCGACTAGATGTCATTATCCTGAAGTGTGGACTCTGCCAGGGCAGTTTTTGAGAGTCAGTTGCTCAGCATTTCTGTCTAAGGAAGCAAATAAATAACTTTGGGCAATTCTAAAGATGATCTGCAGAACAAACCTAGATTCTTAGAGACACCACCTCTAAATCACTTTATGGAGACAGACTCTGACAGAATAAATTCAACAAGGTTGCACTGCACACTTATTAACTCCTGTGGGGCACCATTTATCCAACTTTGCATTGTCTCTATAGGAGAAAGTTTATAAACTTCAGAACACATTACTGTCTCCCAGCAGTCGACCCCCTCCAAAGTAAATCTCATTCCCACTG